TAAAAAAAAGTTCATTTTGAAAATGAAAATGTTGTCTCAAAAAGGTGACTGCAAACTACAGCTCATGGGCCAAATCCACCTGCAAACTTGTTTTGTAAATAAAGTTTTATTGAAACACAGCCATGCTCATTTGTTTATGTATTACCTATGGCTGTTTTTGTGTTACAATGGCAATGTTAAACAGTCCAAATGCAAACCAAATGCAAGTCCACAAAGCAGGAAATATTTACTATATGGCCCTTTACTGAAAAAGTTTGCTGACCTTCCATATAAAACAAGTATACATGTTCAAACTGCACCACTGACTGAAGACTGTGACAATAACCATACATCTGAAAACGATTTTAATGCTGCTATGGCTTAAATGTTTTTGTCCCCTCCAAAACTCATGTGTTGGAAACTTAAGCCAAAATGCAGCAGTGTTGAGAGGTGGGGCCTAATGGGCAGAGCCCTCATGAATGGATTAATGTTGCTATAAAAAATAGGGCTTACAGGAGTGGGTTCTCTCTCTCCTGCTCTTCTGTCATGTGGGGAACAGCATTCCTCTCCTCTGGAGGATGCAGTGTTCAAGGAACCATCTTGGAAGCAAACACTGGGCCCTTATCAAAAAACAAAAACCTGCCAGCACCTTGATTTTGGACTTCCCAGCCTCCAGAACTGTGAGAAATAAAGTTCTATTCTTTATAAATTACCCAATCTCAGGTATTCTGTAATAACAGCACACAACAGACTAAAACAAATATGCTAGGTACACTGTATATGAAAATCCAGATATCTGATTGTCTTATAGGTTTATTTCTTGCCTATGAAATATCTGCATAAAACCTATTGTCTCTCTTAAATTTATCTACAAAACTTCCTAAATAGCCACAGATTTAGATGTTCCCCAATTAGGAATGGGAATACCAAAGTTGGGTGAAACAGATGGCTAAATTCTAAATTTAAGTATATCAGAAAATTAAGCAAATGTGCATTCCACTAGCTGGTACAGTCAAACTAGGAAGTTGAGATCCTAATAGATAATGGCAAAAAGAAAAAAGACACCACTCCAAGCATTAGATATTCCCGCCACATATAACATTAGTAGACACTTGACATTAGTGATCAGAGCAGGCAACGTTCACTGAATAACCCCATTGTTTATGGCACCACATTGTATATACTACAAAACAGAGAAAAACAAGGTTCCAATTTCTGTAGTTTCTCTGGAGCCAAAAATGACCAGCAATATTGCACAATATTTTTAAATATTATGAACATAACTTTACAAAATACTTAAGATTAAAATATATTCAAATAACTCCAAATGTTATTTCAGCTACAGTCGAATGTGTTCAATATGCAATTTTAAAGTTCTTTTTCAGTTTATACTCCTTAATGACTAACTTCCAAAGGAATCCTAACTTACCTTCTCATCAATCTTAGAATGCTTGTGTATTTTTTTGAACATATTAGAGATTTCATAAAATCTGGATCATGGCAGCATAGAAGGTAGTGCCATCCATGTGGGAGGAGCAGTTTTCAAAATCTTCTTTGGTCAAGTGATATGCGACAAACAAGGGGATTCCAACCTGACCAACAATTATGCTAAAATCTTTTTTTTTTTTTTTGTCCTTTTTGAGACCAGCCGCACTGCGCTCAGCCAGTGAGTGCTGTGGGTGCACCGGTCATCCCTATATAGGATCCGAACCCGCGGCAGGAGCGCTGCTGCGCACCCAGCGTCGCACTCTCCCGAGTGCGCCACGGCTAGGCCCTATGCTAAAATCTTGATGTAGTAACTGGCATGGTAAAAATGAACTACTGAAACTCCTAGTAACCTATTCACATTGCCATAGGCTTAGGAGGAAGTGAGCACCAGAGAGATGGGAGGAAGAAAATGGAAGATGGGAGGAAGGGGAAACAGCTCCCCACGTCAGATTTCAGAGCAGCAAAGCTCTGGGCACAGTGCTCCAAGTCGATCAATGTAACTCGCCAGCAGATGAATGTGAAAATTTAGCCCTGCAGCCGTTCCGATGAGTTATCTTGAGAAAAATCAATTGGTTAGTGGAAAAGTAAAGGATGGTGGCAAATAAAATTACCTGATGAAGATTCGGTACCGCTCAACTTTTTCCAGCAGATGCAGTTTATAACTCCAGTGCTATCATCCACTGCAAGAAGGCGTAAAGGGTAGAAGAGAGATTTGGGCACAGCTAATAAATTAGCATGTTGTCATTGTATTTAGCCATACTGAAAAATGAAATTTTTCAAGATCCTGGAGGGGCAAATCCTTTATCAAACTCTCCTTCCACCTGTAGAAACAATCTCTCACCATACACCAATATGAACTGCTTGTCTGCACTTGTCAGTGTAATACATGAGCCCAATGGTTTCACTTACCCTACCTCAAGGGTACTAATGATTCTTGCCTACACCTCTCTAATAAAAATGGTGTCCTCAGGAAGTTAAGTGCAAAAACCTCAATGACTGCTCACACACAAAATCAGCCTTTCTTTCCCATCCTGAAACAAGATAGCATCACACAGTCTGTGGTTAGAAACACAGCCACTTAGAGCATAGGCTTCTGTCACCATTTCTCTTTCACTAGCTTGCTGACTTACCAAGACAAAGCGTCCCAAGCTGCGTGGCCTGGGCTTCTCTTTGTGGAAGGGCTTCTGCCCAGTCCTCACCACTGCAGGGGATATAAGGAACGCCAAACCATGACAGAAGGGCACAATTTTATTTTCATAAAAGAATATAATTATATCCCGGTCACAAAAACAATACTGGTCTGGCTTATTTTACTCCTAGTGAAAAAAAAAAAAAAGCCACATGAAACATTTCTCATTACTCGTGGACTTTAACTGTACAGGAATTTGGAGATGTTTGCTATGGGATGATGGCCATTTTCTCCTTGCCCAACTTCTGATAAACTCAGAACAGAGGTAGTTAAGCCTGGGGTCAGTGGGTCTCATAATTTTTTAAAAATCATCAATCAGACTGTTGTAAAAGCACACATAATAGAGAATATTAAGGCAAAATTATCTTATTGCTGGCTTATATCTGTGTTAAAAGAAGAAGCTGAGAAGAATACTTCTTATATAAAATAAATTCTAGATGAGTTTCATTTTATTAAATATAAAATAGGTAAACTTAAGATGAGAAGATATGGGTAAATACTTTTATCCTTGGTTTTACAGTTAGTTGATGGGGAGAGACTTCTTTGAGCAGCATGTGAAAATCAGAACTCATTTTTTAAAAAAAGTCTGATACATTTGACCACTCAAAAACTAATACTGGACAGCAATTGTCCAAATGGTAGGGTTGGTGCCTTAATATATAATGAGCTGATACAAATTAATAAGAAAAAGACCAAGACAACAAGAGAAAAATGGTAAAGAAAAAAAATATGAAATTCATGGAAGATATAAAAATGGCCAATAAATATGTCCATATGTTAAATTCACTAGTTGCCATGAAAAAAAAAAGCAAATTTAAATACATTCTCAACTACTGGGTTGACAAATTTTAAAAATACTGATACCCTCATATGCTATTAGTGAGAATATAAATTAGTACCAAATTTCTAAACAGCAAGTTTGGAAAGATGCATCACATTTTGAAATATCCTTTGTCTTAGCAATTACTTCCAGTATTTATCCTGAGAAGAAAAACAGAACAAACACAAAGATATATACGTCTTGCTTAAGGCTGTTCATTGTAGGATTATTTATAATACTGAAAATTGGAAATAACCTAAATGTTTATAAATATGCTATCATTTAAGTAAATAACAATGACATAGTATATAAGAATAGAAAGTTATAATGAAGATCTATATTCACTGCTGTTGAAAGATATACACACCTCACTATAAAACAGAAATCTTATATATCCCATAAATCTTATATATAATTCTGTTTATATAAAACATTAAACAGTGTATTTTAACAGAAATTATTTTAAGACATTAAATGCTAATAGCAGTTTCTTTTGGAGTGTGGGGAACAAAGCCCACCTTCAAGCATATATTGACTGTAAGCCTAATTTCAGAAACATTAAGAAGAGAAAGAAATAAGCAATAATTATACTATGGAAATAAGGCATTTCTACATTTCCAATATTAGGAAAATGTTAGGAATATTAAGAAGGATGTTCACCCAAACACTGACATTGTTTTTGTCTGTTTTGCAGTGTTTCATATGACTTTTATGTACTTCATGAAAATTTTCTCTAGTTTTAAATTTTATTTTATAATGAGTAAGTATCATTTTAAGAAGCAAAAACATTGACAGGGACATTTTGTGTTTAAAAATGTATGACACCTCTAGGTACACCACTTCTCTGGTCAGTTGAAAATCTTGATTTATAGTAAAGTAAAAAAAAATTAGCACACGAACATTTGTTCTGGAAAATGTGAGGTAATTCTGGTCTGGACTATGGCCTCCCAAGACTGCAGGCCTGACTTGAGTTGCTGCCACCAGGTGCCTGATGCACTCCAGGCCCTGCCACCCAATGCTCTGACTTCCCTGGCTTATGACCTCTTGCAGCAGACCCTGTGCCTGGTGCCCAGCGCCCTGAGGTCTGGCTGCTTTAGTGCCCCAGGGGAGAGGCACCCTCGCAGTGCCAGCCTGGCCCCTGGCCCTTTGTTTCAGTGTGAGATGAGTCAGTGTGAGCAGAAAGCAAGCCCGGCACAGGCCCACAGTGACTCAGGAGGGGCAGGACCTGGGATGGCAGGGAGTGGTCACCTGGCAGGTGGCCCCACAGCCAAGCTGGTCTTAAGGACAGTAGGGAGAGAGGCAGCTCTCCACTTGAACAGGACACAAGAGCACCGAAGTCACAACCATACTTCTGTTCTCAACTACTTCAACATTCAGATGCCTTTCCTTTTCCCACAGCCCACAGATGTGTCATGCTCTCATGTCACCCACTCAGAGGGACATGCTCACTGCGGAAGAGTCAAACGTGTCACTTTAATCTTTTCATAATGGGAAAAGGAGTTAAGTGAAACCCCTTTAGGTCACAGGCCTAATATCTGGCCTGGTTCTATGGCCAGGACTGAAGCCCTCAAACAGCCTCATTTATTTGATCTGAAAAACCAGATGCAGCTGATTTAGGGGTGTGGAAGGGAGTGAGGAGTTGGGGGAGAGAAAAATCAAATCGAGTTATATAGAGACCATAGAGAACACTGGAGTCAGTAAATTGTAGATTAGACCCACAAACCTGCATCAGTGGAACCTTGAGCAAGCTACTGGCCCTTGATTTTCTCATCTGCAAAATGGAAATAACATCTGTCCTTTCTACTTGAAAAGATTAGGGGAGAATAACATGAAATTATACATGTGAAAGTGCTTTGTAAACTGAAAGACACCATTATTTCATCATTGGTATCTGGAGAGAAGTATGTTATTGTACTACAATGTATTTGCTCACAGCTGGGTATGCTGTAGAAACTTACTAAATGTTTGTTGAGTTGTTTGGAGGAAAAAAGGAACAATATCTTTGGTAAAATAAAGAAAAAATAGACCCACGATGGGGATGCCTGACAAGATGATCTATTTCAGAATAAAAAAAATATTCTCGGAAAAAGCGGAAGGATTGAGAGATATCACCTCTCACATGTTATTTTACAAGCATTAAGACAATCATCTTCAGGGCCGGCCCGGTGGCTCACTCGGGAGAGTGCGGTGCTGATAACACCAAGGCCCCGGGTTCGGATCCCATATAGGGATGGCCGGTTTGCTCACTGGCTGGGCGTGGTGCTGACAACATCAAGCCAAGGGTTAAGATCCCCTTACCGGTCATCTTTAAAAAAAAAAAAAAAAAATTATTTTTCATAATTCCCTGTCTTCTTAAGAAGTCTACTTTAAGGGCCGGCCCATGGCTCACTCGGGAGAGTGCGGTGCTGATAACACCAAGGCCACGGGTTCGGATCCTATATAAGGATGGCCGGTTGGCTCACTGGCTGAGCGTGGTGCTCACAACACCAAGCCAAGGGTTGAGATCCCCTTACCGGTCATCTTTTAAAAAAAAAAAAAAAAAAGAAGTCTACTTTAACATTAACCTGGCCTTTTCTTTTAAAGGTATCAATATAAACATGTATTACCATCTTGGCTTTTTACAGCTATGTCTTCAGGTATCAGGTGTCTGTCCTGTTGATTCTAGACTGCTATATTTTAACTCTTCCACCTCCTAACTCCCCAGCAGCTCTCACTTCACAGGATGCATCAATATCATGCCTACCTGTTGCCTCATTTTACATTTAGTTCACCTCTGAAGCTCCAAGAGGAAACTGCTTGGGCTTTGTGGGGCTGCTTGAAATGAGACTTTCAGCTGATGGGGGGGGGGGGGGCCCTTCTGCCTAATGTCAATTTCAAACACGATTGTTCTTACCTCCGTAACTGTAGAAGGCATCTTTTTCTCTCACTCCAATGACAGTTCCCAAGATATCTACCTGTCTTATTGGATGTCCATTGTAAAGAAATACACCTAAAATTAAAAAAAAAAGCAAAGTCTATACGATGTATGATTACATTTTCTGCTTCATTAAATATTAACTCTGTGGGGGTGGGGGGAGGAGAGTGGAGGTGGTCAAAAACCAGTGGCATGTTGTTTGCTGAAATTCCAGAGTTAAGAATCAGCCTTTCACAAATGGCAAGTCTCAAGAAATTCAGATGTCTTTTCTTCCAGGGTCCTAAGTAAAAAGCTTGGCTTTAAGGAAGCTTGTACTAGTGAAGAAAAGAGAAAACCAATGTTGCCCAACTGGATTTGGTTAATATGCTTTCTCCCCTTGTGAAATGAAATGCACCTCCATGTAGAATGCTCACAAGGAGCCTGAAAACAGTTATTATGTGATGGCACCAAACAGTATTTTGAGCGACTGGAAAAAAGGAGGGTCAAGCTGTGAGGGTTCAGGGATCCAGAGGCACAGGCAGGTTTGCTTCAGATTCCAAGCAGCTGACCCCAAACATCCAGGACCACAGCAAGACATTTGCCTGTTTTCTCTCTTTAAAAACACTTCTGATTGATCTCTGTTTAGTTTAACTGCTGTTATCTAATTGATGCTATAACTGCTTTTATTGAAGTTTGACAGCATTAAAATGCCCAAGATAATATTTTTCAAACACAGGTTCATTTAATGTAATTCTTATGAATACATTATTTCACTTGATTGTACTCACTAGAATTAGATAGTATAAATATCATACGTTGATTTATATAAAAGATTCACTATTATTTAACCCATCATTGAAGTCTGACATGAACAGAGATGTTTTAAAACAATAAAAGCCACTTCTATATGTTATGACTGGTTATTAAAAATATATTGATTATCTCTAGATTGGGATACTAAAAAAATTTTTTTTTAAATAAATTGATTCGGTTTTTTAAAAATGGAAAAAAAAACCCACACAAAAACCTAAACACCACAACTACTACAGTCAAATTTCACAATATTTTCATTAGTTTAACCCTAAATTCACAGATTAAGGGAGTTAACATTTTGCAATAATTTTACAACATAATTCTGATGCCAACTACCCAGAGTTAGGTCAAATTTCACAGGGTAAGGGCACAGTCCCCCATAAGACTGCCCTCACTTCAGTCACCAGTGCCAAGTTTTGCCGGAGTCCTCAGGCCATCTGCACTTCTGACCAACTAGCTACAAAGTTGGGGGCCAAGGCTCCCTCAGGTTTGATACTCGCTAGAATGACTCACAGAACTCAGGAAAGTGTTAAATTTATGATTATAGTTTTATAAATAAAGGATACAAATCAGGATGAGTCAAATAAAGAGAACCTCAGTGTCCAGAGTTTTTACTGGGGTTTCGCAATGTGGGCCTGATTAATTGAATCACTGGCCACATCACTGAATTCAATCTCTAGCACACCTCCCCTCCTAAAGGGGCGTGCTGATATGACCTGGCTCAAAACCCCAACCCTCTAATCACACTGTTGTTCTTTTGGGCATGGACAGGCCCCATCCTGAAACTGCCTGTGGCCCCAGCATGAGACACCTCATCAACATAAACTCAAGTATGGTACAAGGGGCTACCATGAATAACACAGACATTCCTATCACTCAGGAAATTTCAAAGATTCAGAGGTTACCTGACAAGAACCAAGGACAAAGGCCAGCCAAATTGTTATACAACACATTTATTTTATATTCTGTCACTTTTTTGGTTAACCTTTGTTATTTTGTTTATGCGGTCACAAGTTTTCTCTTTATGGCAAGCTAAACCAAAAACACACAAAATGAAAACCTAGACTACTGGCATTTCCCACCCCTCAGAACTACAGTATAGTCTAAAGAAGATCACTCTGTAAAATTACAGTTGATGTCTGCTTCAACCATGAGGTTTCATTTTAAAAAACACATCTGAAACATTCTCACCAGTGACAAAGACCACCCCATTTTTGTTAGTTTGTTTTTAATACATCATAAAGTCTTTCCTCCAAAGGAAGAGTTAAGCCCCTATCATGTCCTTGACACTTGCTTGCTCACCTACAGAAGATCTTTAAGCAAGGCTGGCATTTGATGTGAATTAATTTCTTCTTGAGGAGATGAGCTATGAAGAATACCAGACTGTTCTGGAAAATGGAAAACTGTGGGGGAGGCTGGCTGCCTTTCAAGGAAATAAACAGACCATTTTCAACAATAATTGGGAAATAAAAGTGTGGTCAAAAATTTGGGGCTGGCCTGGTGGCGCACTCGGTAGAGTGCAGCGCTTGGGAGGACGGTGTTCCCGCCGAGGGTTCGGATCCCATATAGAGACCGGTCCGCTCACTGGTTGAGCGAGGTGCGGGCGCGACACCGAGGGTTGCGATCCCGTTGCCGGTCGCAGTATGGGCGCGACACTGAGGGTTGCGATCCCATTACCGGTCACAAAAAAAGACAAAAAGGAAAAAAAAAAATTTGTACCAAAAGTCAGGGCCAGCCTGTGGCTCACTTGGGAGAGTGCGGTGCTGATAACACCAAGGCCACAGGTTTGGATCCTATATAGGGATGGCTGCTTAGCTCACTGGCTGAGCGTGGTGCTGACAACACCAAGCCAAAAGGTAAGATCCCCTTACCGGTCATCTTTTAAAAAAAAAACAAAACAAAACTGTACCAAAAGTCATCCAAATATATTTGTACATATAACTGGAAACACACAAAACCTCATTAAAACTGTGGATACTTGAGATTCTTGACTACTTCTGACTCACAGCTTGCTATTCAGAAGGCCCTTAACCAGAAAGCTTCACTCAAAATAGCAGAGATTTTTTTTTTTTTTTTTTCTTTTTTCGTGACCGGCAACGGATTGCAACCCTCAGTGTCGCGCCCGTACCGGACTGGGACCGGCAATGGGATCGCAACCCTCAGTGTTGCTCCCGCACCTCGCTCAGCCAGTGAGCAGCCGGTCTGTATGTGGGATCCGAACCCTCGGCGGGAGCGCCGCCGCGCTCCCAAGCGGCGCACTGTAGCAGTGCGCCACCAGGCCGGCCCAAAATAGCAGAGATTTTAATCAAACTTCTCAACACAGTAAACACGAGATGATCCACCCATAGCTACATGAATTATTTAAATCTACCACAAACTATATTTGTCATATTATTAGGTATGATAAGCCTGTCTTTGGTAACCTCTACTTTAATAAAAACATTTAAAAATATTTTTCACAATTATAATGCTTTGTTGCTTCAACTGCTATTTGAGGGCCCACAACATTCCAGGCACTGTTCTAGGCCCTGGGATTACAAGTGAAAAAAGACAGATGATGTCCTTCCTCTCAAGTAGTTTATAATTTAAAACAAAACAAACCCACACAAGAAAATGAGGCATGATTAATCCCCATTTTTACAAAGAAGAAATCTAGGCTTAATAGGAGAGTCACATGTCCGGGACAGGTAAGTGGCACAGTTCCACCAAGAGCAGGCCCCAAGAAAAACAACTGAGCCATTTTTAAATATGAAAGACCTCAAATACACGTAAAACATTCCGTTGCTCAGTACAAAGGTTACTCCCCAAACACCTATTAAAAAAAAAAAGAAGCCTGTTTTTACCTTGCATAGATATTAACTCATTCGTGGGTGCAGGCTAGGTCATTTTCAAAGCCTGCAGCAGCAGCAGGGAAGGCTCTCCTGAAAAGCCCCTAATACCAGCTTTCTGCAGCTTTGGGGATGGGTGAGGAGGGGTGCACATGCAGCACAGGGCATCCATCAGGCTGACCAGCCACATACCTGGCACCTGGCAGGACTCCTTCAAGTCCAGAATATCCCTGATGTAGAGTTTTGCAAAGGCTAGAAACACAGGATCCAAACCCCACAAGAGGGAAGGGATCTCCTCTTCACACCTGCTGGATTCAGGCTGCATCAAGAGGCTGGGCCAAGGCTTCTAGCTAACTGAAAGGCTCTGCATCACAGTCAAGGATCTGTATAAGAGACACAAAAATCAGGATGCAAGGCGTTTAGTGTGGGTGAAATTGGCACGGACAGAAGCTGCTCCCATCCAGAATTCTGGGAGGAGAAAACCCAAGGGTACAGGGCCCGTCAAACTCCACGCCACGGGGCGTGGGAAGAGCCGTTCCTCGTGTGAGAACCCGTGAGTGCCTTATGGTTCTCCCACCGTTCTTCCCCCCAAGTTCCAATTTCGAAACGGCTAAACACCAACTTTTCACTTTGGGGAGATATATCCCTACAGGCGTACCCTGAAGCCGCTTTAAATGGGTGGGGTCCAGGGAGGAATGGGCTCCTTAGTGGCCACGCACGTGCTGGGACACAGTGGGTGGGTCTGATCGCTGCTCTGTCCCTTCCGCTTTTCCGGAGGAGCCGAGAAAGGAGGAAAAAGGAAACAAAAAAGGACCAGCTCGTGGCCCTTCCCGCCAGGCCCACGCGGCCTCCGGCAGCAGCGCCCGGGAACGCGGAGGCCCCGCCCTTCCGGCGTCCGG